TCATGTTAATTTCGTTGCGTTGATTGAATTTCAAACTATATTGTCTTAGAATTTCTTATTATAATTATATTTTGCCTTTACCTTGTATTAGGTGGAAGATCACCTGTCATCAAACCATTTCAGTTTTCTGGAGATTTGCGTCAAGGACTGAGAGTTGCTGTTACGTGCACTCTAATTGAAGGTGATCCACCCTTCCAATTCGAATGGTACAAAGATGGTCAAATTCTTCAAAACAATGAAAAGATTTCGATAAAATCTATCGATGAATTTTCTTCGTTTCTCACTCTTAAACATTTAGATTCCGCAAGTAATGGCAATTATACATGTCGGGCTCAAAATCCTGCTGGTTCAGACCAAATATCTGATTCCCTTAAAATGAACGGTAAGACAAAAATTCCCTTTTTTTATACATATATTAACAGCCAGTCTCATAAGTTAGTATGCAATATATAGTATATATATTAGTATTTCCATGAAAATAACTCCATACAGTTTAACTGGAAAATTCACGTTTCAAATCATTTTGAAGTGGTACGAAATAAATATTTTAATTTCAAATTTATGGAAAAAATATCCACTCGTCCTTATGGAAAAATTAAAATTTCTTTAATTTTTTGAGTAAAAGTATTTTTAGAAAAGAATTGGTTTAATGGATATTCTTTTTCTTAATTGTGTTTTATTTTTAATGAACATTTAGTCAGATTTATACGATGATCTAATAAAATTTATATTAACTGACAGAAATTTCGATTAATGAATTTTCTGTTAAGCTATTTACTACTGTCTCTACTTATAGTAATTTGCTTGAATTTATGGTGTTTCTGAATAATTTCGTTTCTTAGAACATTCATCAAAGCCCGTTAAGAATATAAATTAACCATTTTAAAATATTCTAGATATTCGTCTATATTTTCCCTTCCTATGTGGTGATTAATTTTGTTGTTTGTTGCAATATAGCTTATATTATTACTTATTTTATTACCTACTTATTATTTTTGTCGTTGTATAGAAAAAATTTTTTGTATATGATTCACAAAATCTAGAATATATAAATATTGTGAACAATTTCTGCCTCTGTGTATTCTAGCATTTTATATGTCATTTACTACTTTCGCGTTAGAAATCAGCTTATGTGGTAGAAATTATTTTCATTTTCTCAGAAACATGCGAAAAATGTTAATATGCTTGGAAAATGTATTCCATAGTTTTTTTTGATGGTCGAAAGTTGAATCTAATAAGGTCAGTGTTGACCATAACCACGCTTGACGTCGGAAGCATTGGTTCGGGTCGGGCATCAATTACTGCTGGATACGACGAAAAATACGCTGTGTTAAATATGAAAGGCGAAGTTTCAAAACTATGTTGAATTACTAGTTTTCATTGAGTGCAGCTTATTAAAGTCTGGCACTAAAGAGCATTGTTTCGTACCATTATTATGTGTACGAACTCATTTTTATAACTCATTTTTGTACCATTTATTATGTGTACGTTTTATCTGTATTTGTTACTTTTATTTCTTAGCTAATGGATATTATCATGCTATACAATAAACTTGAATTGACAAGCAATTCAAAAACATTCTTTAAGAAATTATTTTGTTTTTTTTGAAAATGTATTCATAAATTATGAAATAGAGTTATATTTTCATAAAAATTAAATGCGTAGTATTAAAACATGACGGCCTAACTAACGTTCATACATTCGTTGTATATGGTACTTATCTATCAAAAGTCCTCCATTATATTTTGAAATCACTGACTCTAGAAAACTTTATTTAACTTATTAATAAATATCGAAGATGCTAAACACAACGTAAAATAATTTTTTCATTTTGAAATAAATGGCACTTATTACATATGTTTGAATTTCAATATTTATTTTCCAGTAAAATTTTTTAAGTTCTTTTCTTTTCCATTACTGTCACTGTGTGGCGCTGCAATACTGTTCACATTTCTATTTTCCCCAAGTACATCAAAGTCTTCGCGCAGTAATGGCAGTCACCACTGTTGTATTAGTCATTGTTAAGTTGTTGTATTCAATAATTAAATAATTATAGTAATATTTTTATGTTACATTCCTTTTTCAGTATTACTGATTATTTAAAATCTGTTTTAAGTGATACCTCATTATTCACGCGAAACGTTCTCTTCAACTTCTTCCAAATAAAATGAATTGGATGATTGTTGTTATCCTTTCAAGTTGTTTTCTTCTCATCTTCGGTAAGTTTCAGTCTTTCTCTCCATTCAAATAAGATTTGTACTGAATTTGATGTATTATGAAATGATTTTAACTATAAATATGTAGGATTTCGCATACATTTTATGTTTTTAAAAAATTTCATAATCATTTGCAGCACGCTTTTATTATATAAGGTAAATGTTTCTCTTTTGATACTATGCATAATTTGGTGAAAAGTTATATTTGTGAAATATTGTAAATTAAATATTATTTTTCAAATTAATAATCAAACTGCATTATTCACANTTTCCATTATTGTCACTGTGTGGCGCTGCAATACTGTTCACATTTCTATTTTCCCCAAGTACATCAAAGTCTTCGCGCAGTAATGGCAGTCACCACTGTCTACAGCATGGTGTTGTATTAGTCATTGTTAAGTTGTTGTATTCAATAATTAAATAATTATATTCATATTTTTATGTTACATTCCTTTTTCAGTATTACTGATTATTTAAAATCTGTTTCAATTAATACCTCATTATTCACACGAAACGTTCTCTTCAACTTCTTCCAAATAAAATGAAATGGATGATTGTTGTTTTCCTTTCAAGTTGTTTTCTTCTCAGCTTCGGTAAGTTTCAGTTTTTCTCTCCATTCAAATAAGATTTGTACTCAGTTTGATGTATTATAAAATGACTTTAACTATAAATATGTAGGATTTTACATAAATTTTACCTTTTTTTAGAAACTTCATAATCATTTGAAACATGTTTTAATTAGATAAAATTAAATGTTTCTCTTTTGATATTATGTATGTATTGGTGAAAAGTTATATTTGTGAAATATTGTAAATTAAATTTTTTTTTTCAAATTAATAATCAAACTGCATTATTCACAAGATGTCAATCTTAATAAGTAAGTAAAATAGTCATTATTATTGTAAGCATATCTCGAATTGTTATATTTGTTAGATTGAAAAATAATTTAACAATCATTGGTTTTAATATGACAGATATCATTGTACAATTTGAATAATTTTCAGTTGTAAAAAATAACACTATTCAGAGCGGGAAAAAATAAATAAATAAACTTCATAAAAGAATAAAAAGTAATAAAAATATTTTTCGGACTATTAGAAATTCGTATTATCAGCTTTCTTTTAGCAACATTGTGAACAATTCCTATGTTTGTTTCTTTAGCTATATTTTAGATCTGTAATCACGGTGTCTATCTCAAAATTTTTTTAATTATTCATATTATATATATTAACAAAACTCGAATTTGACGGGGATACATAAAAGGACGTAAAAAATGCAGTAATTAAATTTTACACGGAAATAATCGTATTTTGACCTGCAGTCTTCTCTGCATAACAATAGCGATTCTTTTCATGTAATTCTATAGAAAAATGGTGTCTAGAAAAAAATATTCAACCAAATCTGCCCATTTGCTAAACCACCGGTGGGTCAAAAAAGATTTCGGTAAAATTATTATTGCTGTGATTTCATTTCCATTTCTATCTCAGTAACTCGTTCGTAATAATGTAGTAAATTGGAATTATCTCTTATAAATGCTAAAATTTTGGCCATCTCAGCTTGCGAGAAAGTTTCAAAATGTGTTATTTTTATGATATGTTTGTGTATAATTTATGAGTTTTGCTTGATTTTTTATTGTAGTATTATCACAAGTTAACAATCATACAAGTTAACAAATCTAAATTTTAAGTTCAAAACTAAATCTTGTCAATGTCTATTATTTTGTTTCAGTTTTTTCTTTTAATTCTTTTATGATATTATTAGTTACAAACAATAGTTATTGTAGTAATAAGCTGTTATTAGTTGTTAAACAATAGTTATTAGTTGTTGCACAACAAAATAGGAACAGATTTAATATGAATCACTTACATTAAATATCGTTATTTTTATTAAATTTAAATTTTCGATTAAAATCATTTTAAATGAGTATTTATTTTATGCATTTTTTTAAGTAGATTTTGTTGCTTTTTCTTAATGTTTTTTTATTTTTTATTATGAATATTATTGGTTATGACCATAGATGGCAGTACTTTTACTTTCGTTACTTGTACCGCCGGAACAAGTAAAAAGTACGTACTTTTACTTGTANTTTTATGCATTTTTTTAAGTAGATTTTGTTGCTTTTTCTTAATGTTTTTTATTTTTTATTATGAATATTATTGGTTATGACTATTATTTATTATGACTAAGAGAAAATTTGTTGAGGGTGCATTTTTTAAACAATTTTTTTAATAATTTTGCAAACTTTTTAAGTAGTTTTTACAGATATTTTTCAATTTTATTTTCTAGGATTGAAATCACCCAAACTCAACCCGATGCAATTTTCTGGTGAACTGCAAATCGGCATGAGAGTGAGTTTAATGTGTGCATTGATTGCAGGTGATGCACCATTCGAGTTTAATTGGTTTAAAGATGGTCAAACCCTCGTATCAAAGAATACTGTTTCAATCGAAAAAATTAATGATTTTGCTTCAGTTTTGACCATAACCACGCTTGACGTCGGAAGTATTGGTAATTACACGTGTCGGGTGTCAAATACTGCTGGATACGATGAAAAATACGATGTATTAAATATGAAAGGTGAGGTTTTAAATAAATTATTTACGAATATTACATTTTTTATTACATTAATAAAGAAAACTTTTTCGCCTATTTTCGTTATTTTAGTAAATTATAAAAAATACTTTGTGTTTCAGAAAGCTTTTATGTGATTCAATTTAACAGAATTTGATAAAAGCCTACATGTTTCTACTAATAGTTTACTCGTAATAAAAACGTTCTCTTTACATTAAGTGAAATTCGAAAAATTTAGTGTTTAGTTTTTCTGTTAAACATTTTATGTCTTTTTATCTTCTTTTTTTGACACTATGTGGCGCTACAATACTGTTAAAATATTTGTTTCCATCCAAGTATCAGAATAGGCCTTCACACAGTAATGAGAGTTGGTAGTTGCTATGACTTGGTGTAGTCATTGTTATGATTATAAACCTGCTCTATAAACGTATTTATTATGTCATTTTATCTTGAGTACCTAAATATATTGAGTATATGTAACTTCTAATATTGGTTATAAGTTGTAAATAATCATTTGTGAAGAAAAAAAACGTGCACTAATATCTGTTCAAGATGAAATGGATGCTTATACTTTTCCTAGCAAGTAGTTTTTCCCTCATCATTGGTAAGTTTCAATCTTTTGTATTCTTTCCTAAAAAATATTCAAGATCTCAGTTTCGATATTTATGTACGAATATTCTGTAATTGTTGAGAAATTAATTTTAATATTAGTGAACGAGTAAAATTTAAACATGGTTCAAATATTTTTAAAAATTATTTAGACTTACAGATATTATCATTCATGCTTACTTAAATGTGTTAGTAGTAAGATAGAATATTGCCTAATTTGATTCAATAATAATGATTTGATGAAGAATTTGGGAAATGAAATGAAAGATATAAATATTTGAACTTGGAAAGTTTTGACTCAATTCACTATTGATCTGATTATTTAGGAAAACTTAAAAATATCAATCGCTATCCGACATCTTCATGCAAAAATTCATAAAATATGCATATTTTCGACTAGATACTGTATGAACATATCCAATGCTATATTAATAATGATTAAATTTCATTATGAATAAACAAAAAATATAGATTTTTTACTCACTTCTTTAACTGTATGTAAACATCAATTTCTATATTTCAGAATGAATTTGTATGGAAGAGTCTAGGTTTTTTTTTTCTAATTAATAATTGAGTATTTTACTATGTATGATTTTTAAAATGATAATTTACATTTAACGATATTTAAATTATTCGTAAGACATAATGTTGGACAACACTAATAATGGTTTTATATTATATCTGGAAGATATGTAAGCTAAATATCGCGGCAAGTCATGTTAATTTTATAGCTTTGATTGAATTTCGAATTTTATTGTCATAAAATTTCTTGTTATAATTATCTTTTGCCTTTATTTTGTATTAGGTGGAAGACCACCTGTCATTAAACCATTTCAGTTTTCTGGAGATTTGCGCCAAGGTCTGAGAATTGCTGTCACGTGTACCATTATTGAAGGCGAGCCTCCTTTCCAATTCCTGTGGTACAAAGATAGCCAAATTCTTCAAAACAATGAGAAGATTTCGATCAAAATTTTCGATGAATTCACTTCGATTCTGTCTCTTAAACATTTAGATTCCGCAAGTAACGGCAATTACACATGTCGAGTTCAAAACGCTGCTGGTTCAGACCAAAAGTCTGATTCCCTCAAAATGAACGGTAAGACAAAAAGTTACTTTTTTATGCATATATTAACAGCCAGTCTCAAAAGTTAGTATGCAATTTCATGGTATTTCCATGAAAATAACTCCATGCAGTTTAAGTGAAAAATTCATGTTTCAAATCATTTTTAAGGGGTACAAAACAAGTACTTTAATTTCAAATTTCAGGAAAAAGTATCGACTAGTACTTAGGGAAAAATTGAAACTTCTTTAATTATCTGAGTGAAACCTTTGAGTATTGAAAAAAGGGAGATATGCAAATGATAATTTACTATTATTTTATTTTTTATTGTATTAATAATTTTTATTGTATTAATAAATTTATTGTATTAATAAAAAAACTATTTTTTGCCTATTTTGCTTATTTTAGTCTTTTATGCACAGAATCACCGTTTGTATAGTATAAAAGAAAATTTGTGTTTTAGAAAGCTCTCATGTGATTCAATTTTACAGAATCTAATAAAAGCCTACATGCTATCTAAAAATTTGATCGTAATTAAACGTTTTCTATTCACTAAATTAAGTTTGAAAAATTCGGTGCTCAGTGTTTCTGTTAAAAATTTAGAATCTTTTTCACTTCATTTTTTGTCACTGTGTGGCGCTACAATACTGTTAAAATATCTGTTTCCATCCAAGTATCAGAATAGGCATTCACAGTAATGAGAGTCTGTAGTTGGTATGACATGGTGTAGTCATTGTTATGATTATAAATCTGTTCCGTAAACGTATTTTTTATGTCATTCTATCTGGAGTACTTAAATATATTGTGCATATGTAATTTCGAATATTTGTAATACGTTGTTTATAAGTATTTGTGTTAAAAAAACGTGCTCTAATATCTGTTCAAGATGAAATGGATGCTTATACTTATCCTCGCAAGTAGTTTTTCCTTCATCATCGGTAAGTTTTAATCTTTTATCTTCTTTTATAAAAAAAATATCCAAGATTTAAGTTTTGAGATTTATGTAAGAACATTCTGTAATTGTTGTGAAAATGATTTTAATATTAGTGAATGTATAAAATCTAAACAGGGCTCAAGCATTTTTAAAAATTATTAAAACCTAGTATCATTTATACTTACTTAAAAATGTTGGTAGTAAGAAAATATCTTTCAAATATAGCCTAATTTAATTCAATAATAATGATTTGATGAAAAATTACATTTGAAAAATGAAATGAGAGATTTAAATATTTGAATTTCTTAGCTAAATTCACCATTGATCAGATTATTAAGGAAAACCTAAAAATATCATTCGTTATCCACCATCTTCATCCGAAAATTGATAAAATATGCAAATTTTTGCATACATACTCTATGAACATATGTAACCCTATATTAATAATTAACGTTAAATTTCACAGTAAATTAAACGGAAAATATAGATTTTTCACTCACTGCTTTAACTGAGCGATAAACATCAATTTCTATATTTCAAAATGAATTAGCATAAGAGTCTAATGTTTTTATTTTCTAATTAATAATATAGTTCTTAGTTATGTGTGATATTTAAAATGATAATGGATATTTATCGATATTTAAATTATTCCTGAGGCAACTATTCTTGAATTGAATCATTCTTTGAACTTAGTGACAATAATGCTTGACTACATCAACAATGATTTTTATATAGTATATGTCTGGAAGATATGTATTCTCTGAAGGCTAAATAGCGCGGCAAGTTATGCTAATTTCGTTGCGTTGATTGAATTTCAAAACTATATTGTCTCTATATTTCTTGGTGTAATTATATTTTGTATTTACTTTGTATTAGGTGGAAGACCACCTGTCATTAAACCATTTCAGTTTCCTGGAGATTTGCGCCAAGGACTGAGAATTGTTGTCCCGTGTACCATTATTGAAGGCGAACCTCCTTTCCTGTTAGAATGGCACAAAGATGGCAAAATTCTTCAAAATAATGAGATGATTTCGATCAAAAATTTCGATGAGTTCACTTCGATTTTGTCTCTTAAACATTTAGATTCCGCAAGTAACGGCAATTATACATGTCGGGCTCAAAATGCTGCTGGGTCAGACCAAAAGTCTGATTCCCTTAAAATGAACGGTAAGACGAAAAGTCACCTTTTTATTATGTATATACTGACAGCCAATCTAAACAGTTAGTAAGCAATTTCATTGTATTTCCATGAAAAAAACTGCATACAGATCATTTTGAAGGAGTGCAGTACTTTTAATCTCAAATTTAACGATAAAATATCTACTGGTATTTTAATTTAGGGAAAAATAAAACTTCTATAACTTCTATAACGTTCGTTTAGGGAACTTCTATAAAAAAAAATAAAAAAATTTCTGAGTGAAACTTTTTTTAATAAATAATTGGAAGGTGAGGTATTCAAATGATAATTTACTATTATTTTCTTTTTTAATTTATTAATAAAAAAACTATTTTTGCCCATTTTACTTATTTTAGCCCTTTATGCACGAAATCACTGTTTGTCTTTTAAGAAGCTCTCATGTGATTCAATTTTACAGAATCTGATAAAAACCTACGTGCTATCTAAAAGTTTGATCGTAATTAAACGTTTTCTATTCACTAAATGAAGTCTGAAAAATTCGGTGCTTAGTGTTTCTGTTAAAAATTTAAAGTCTTTTTCACTTCATTTCTTGTCACTATGTGGCGCTACAATACTGTCAAAATATCTGTTTCCATACAAATATCAGAATAGGCATTCACGCAGTAATGAGAGTTGGTAGTTGCTATGACATGGTGTAGTCATTGTTATGATTATAAACCTGCTCTGTAAAAGTATTTTTTGTGTCATTTTATCAGGAGTAGTTAAATATATTGTGCATATGTAATTTCGAATATCTGTTATAAGTTGTATAACAGCATTTGTGTAAAGAAAACGTGTGCTCTAATATCTGTTCAAGATGAAATGGATGCTTATATTTATCCTAGCAAGTAGTTTTTCCCTCATGTTCGGTAAGTTTCAATCTTTTATGTTCTTTTATAAAAAATATTCAAGATTTAATGAGATTTATGTACAAATATTCTGTTAATAATTAAAAGTTTTGAGAAAATAATTTTAATATTAGTGAATAAGTAAGATCTAAACATGGTTCAAATATTATTTTAAAAATTATTATCACTCATACTTATACTTAAATGTGTTATTGTAAAAATATCCTTCAAATATCGCCTAATTTAATTCAATAATAACAATTTGATGAAGAATTACATTTGAGAAATGAATGTAAGATTCAGATTTTAAAACTTGAAAATTTTTTTGATGAATTCACTATCGATCAGATTATTTAGGAAAACCTATCAATATCTATCGTTATCCATCATCTTCATCCGAAAATTTACTAACTTTGCATATTTTTACCAACACATTGTATGAACATATCCAATGCTAACTTAAAAATATTATTCGTTATCCATCATCTTCATCCGAAAGATCATAAAATATGCATATTTTTGCCTATATACCGCATGAACATATGTAATGCTATATTAATAATTAATAATAAATTTCACAATAAATGAAGCGGATAATAAAGATTTTTCATTCACTGCGTCAACTGTATGATAAACGCCAGTTTCTATGTATCAGTTTTTTTTTTCTCTTCTTTTTCTAATTAATAGTTTTGTACTTTACTATGTATGATTTTTAAAATTATTTTGGATATGAAACGATATTTAATTTATAATTAAGACAACTATTCTTGAATTAAATTATTCTTTGAGCTTTGTGATAACAATGCTTGACTACATCAATATTGTTTTTAAGTGGTATATATCTGGAAGATTTGAAAGCTAAATATCGCGGAAAGCTAAATATCGCGGAATTTTGTTGCTTTGATTGCATTTCAAACTATATTGTCTTAAAATTTCTTGTTATACTTATCTTTCTGTTACTTTGTATTAGGTGGAAGACCACCTGTCATTAAACCATTTCAATTTTCTGGCGATTTGCGTCAAGGTTTGAGAAATGCCGTCCCGTGCATCCTCATCGAAGGTGATCCACCCTTCCAATTCGAATGGTACAAAGATGGCCAAATTCTTCAAAACAATGAGAAGATTTCGATCAAATCTATCGATGAATTCACTTCGTTTCTCACACTTAAACATTTAGATTCCGCAAGTAACGGTAATTACACATGCCGGGCTCAAAATGCTGCTGGGTCAGATCAAAAATCCAATTCTCTGAAAATGAATGGTGAGATTGTATTTGTAAACCTCTCTTGATTCAAATTGTTTTATCACACAACATACGTTTTTGTTTCAAAATGAGTAAAAAATGTTTTTATTTCTGGATACAAAGTGTTTAATAAAGAATTTTAATGATTAGAATTCATTCTAAGTACAATTTTATTTATATTCTTAGACATTTTGCAATGATTTTTCCATATTTTAAGTTGATTACATTTCTAAAACTTGAATTTGAGAAATTACGTTACTCGACATAAAACAAAAGAAGTTTTTTTAATTTATATCCTATTTTATCCTATTTATATACATAATTTTTAATAAACTGGTATTGGTTGTAAATTGTGTCACTATGCGGCGCTACTATACTGCTTGGTACTCTTTATGTTTGCTTGGGATACGTTCATATTCTTGAAATTCATCATACCTTAGTAACTGAGTATTCGTAAATCGTCGATAAAGTTTATAAAAAGCTAGTCACTGTTATTATGCTTGTCACATTTCGGACGATAAACTTTTTTTGAGTCGAAACTTCAAAATCTCAACATATTCCAAAAATATATTGTCTCCATTTTATTTGTGATGCTGGTAGCAGCCGACTGATATTTCCCTTTACAAAAAAGGGTACATGTTACTCTTTTTAACAGAAATTCGTACATTTACAGAATGCATAGACTTAAAACAAACCAACAACGGTACAACTTTCATCTACTCTGTTTCTTCAATGTTTTTCTTTTCTGTTCTGGTAAGTTTACTTCATTCTGTAATTCTGTTTTGTCACTGAAAATTCTATAATTTATCTTTGTAATGATTTTGATAAATACGTGATGATTTTGATCAAATTATTTTCGTACTAATATATGATTCGTACGTGTCATAATTTGTTGAATTGTAAAAAATTATTAATTTTTTT